GGGCGGCACCCGCAGGCCGCCCCGCAGGCCCACCATCTTGCGGAAGATCTCGGCGGCCCAGCAGCTCTCCGCCTCCGAAGTGGTCACTCACCTCGGGCAGACGGTGGCCCTGGCCAGCGGGACGCTGAGCGTGCTGCTGCACTGTGAGGCCGTGGGCAACCCCCGGCCTACCATCAGCTGGGCCCGGAACGGAGAAGAGGTTCAGTTCAGTGACAGGTGAGCCGGGGGAAGGAGCGAGGGGGGCAAAGGGCACATCTTTCCAAGGCCCCCGAATCGCTCTGCTTGCAAGGTGTTTCCCAGGGTGGCACTTAGGGCCCTGGGCTCGGGGACCACACCCCGGGATTGGAGCTCTTTGTCACCATTGATAGACTGCTGGAGCAAAGGCCAGCTATTTAATTTCTCTTCACTGTACACTGTCATCCTTATAAGGTAACAGCAACAATGCCTACCCACCCCAAACCCCATAGGATCCCAAGGATTAATGAGTTATCACTGGAGAACTTTGAACTTTGGGCAGAAAGCGATCGTTTCGGGACAAGGCATTATTTTGTTACATTACCACCCAGACATTGGCTCCACCTGTGTAGCTCCCAGGGCTGGGGAGAGAGTGCAGCCAGCACCTGCTGCTGCTCATGGGTGAGCCTGTCCTCTGCCTGGGCTGGACGAAGCTGTTTGTTCCAGAAAGCTTCTATTCCCGGTTGGACCTGTGATCAGTTATTCTAAAATCTCTTGGTGTCTCTGTTTCTATGTGTCATTACCAGGATGACAGTATGTATTACTTACCTGTTTGGGCCACAGCCATTGGTAATGTAAAATCAGAAGTGGTGTTAATAATAACAATATTAACACTGCTTATGTGCCAAGCACTGTGCCTGCTTTCTACATCCATTGTCTCTTTTCATCTTTATAGGGGCCCTGACAACAGCAATGATACCTGGCATTAATGAGTAGTGACTATCTGCCAGGCAAATGTAAACCCTTTATGGGCTTTATCTCACCGAATTTCAGCAGTAGCCCTGAGAAGTGGGGACACTTTTTATCCACATTTTACACAAGGGGACACAAAGTCAAGTGACTTGCTAAAGATTATATTTATTAGGTGATAGAGCCAAGATATGTGACAAAAATAGTCACTTGAAGAATCATAGTCTATGGATGGGAGAGGAACCTTTAAGGTCCTCCAGTCCAGAGTCCTCATTTTAACTTTTTTATTATCTCTGAATCCATATAGAATGCTCTTTTCATTAAATATACTTCTAAACACTGTTGTTTGGCTACTTCTTCTCTCTTGTGTGCTAGCTTTGGGTAAGGAAGGAAAGAAGCCAGGATTTATTGTGCGAGGAGGTGTGCCAGGTTCATTTCTATGTAACTGTGCTTGTTATTCTAACAGTCAGTTCACAAGATTGACGTTGTCCTTCAGGCTTGCATGGAAATTCAAGGTTCAGCAGCTCACCCAAGATCACATTAGTAAGAGCCAGTCCGAGGATTTGATACCAAGTTTATATGATTCCAAGGAATAGTTCTGTCTAGTCTTCTGTGATTTGGTGAACAAAAGTGACATCCATCCTGCCCACATCTTTTGTGCCTTTAAACTGTCAATAATATTGCCTCTCAGCCTTAGTACTTACAGACCATATAGCTTTAATAACAATGCTAAGTGTTTTCCTGTGTGCTCTTACTAGATACCAGACCACTGTGCTCAGTGTTTCAAAGACATTATCTTGTTTAATCTTTAAAAATAAAAATAAAAGCCCTGTGAGGTAAGTTCTGTTATTACCACAGCACTGGTAAGAAAGCTGAGGCCCAGATGTCGGGCCCACGCAGCGGCACTGGAGACAGGGTTTGAACGCAGGCAGTGCTGCTCGAGAGCTTGTGCTCCTAGCCTCCCCACTTGTTTGCAGTATGGTCCTCCCCAGCTCAAACCTTCCTTGATCAGCTTAGCTGCTAGGATCGCTGTTAATTTTTGCCAGAAATCTTTATAGCAAATTTGTGGGTCAAGCCAAAGCTGCAGCAAATCCCCTTGAGGCCGCTGGGACACTGAGAGGCAACCCCAATGTAGGCTCCCAGAATGGTGGATGCTGCCTGAGAGTGGTACCCGGTGCTCAGGTGGGTGGTACACTGGAAATCACCTCTGTCAGTGCACCTGTCACACCTATTGCGCCCAAGTTCTATCATCTCCACCAGCCAGCCACTTTCTCGGGCGTAGGTGCCATTCTATTCCTATGCCCTGGGCCTGTTACCCAGGATTGGTAGCAGTTGGCTGTGTGAGGGAAAAAGTGGGAATTCACATTTCTTGACTAACTGTATGCACCGTTCCCCATATGCTAGCAACTTCCCTAGCCTTCATCTTAGGTAACATCTACCACAAGGTGTGGCATACAAGCTATTGTCCCTGCTTCAGAGATGAGGACACCGAGGCTCCCAGGAATTAAGGAACCTAACGATGTTAGATAGCAAGTGGAAGGCAGAATCAAAAGGTGGGATTCCAAGCCAGTGCTGCCCAACTCAAGCCCCTGCTGTCTGAGGGAATGAGGAAGTTTATGCTTCTATGTATCTGCACTTCACCAGGGATCCCAAGTTGCCTCAAGACCCTTGGTGTTTTCTACCAGGTATTTCCAGGGTCCCTTCCTTTGAACAGCACTTACCTCCTCCTAAAAAGCTGTAGAACAAGACACACCTTTGGGAAGAAGGAGGGGTCCTTAGGACTCCCCTGTGCTGGGCCTGGAACTGCAGGGAGCACATTGAGGCCAGGGCTTATTCAGAGGTCCTGACAATTTCCTTGAGTACTGGAGGTTTTTTAATGATTTTTTTTTAATTTAATGAGTTTTTTAATGAAAGTCAAAGGTCATGGCCCATCTAAGTCACCTGGTGATTACAGGAAAGATGTGGAAGGAGCTAGATGAGGATTGAGGGCTTCAGGCTGATCTTGCCAAGGCCCTTCCCTTTTCATGACCTTAGTCACTTCGTTTCAAAAATGAGGGGAGTGTCCCAGATCATCTCTGAGGTCCCTTCTACCACCTCTGCTCATGTACAGAAGGTCACAGAAGGTGAAAACCCATATGCTGACAGGGAGTGGGGAGAGCTTTGAGTGCAGTAACTTCAGAATTTGTTGCACAAGTTGTTTCTGAGTGTTCCACAAAACGGGTTCCTAGAGATCACATGAGTTTGGGACGTGCTCACTTAAAGCTAAACAGATGTATTTACTGCTGGATTTTACTTCTATTTTTTAATATAGTGCTTGTTTTTTATTATAAAAGTAATAAAGGGGCTATAAAACAATTCAAATAATACCTAAATCTATAAAGAAAAATGCAAGTCTCCCTCCACCCCCAATACTATTCCCCAGAGGCTGTCACTCTTAATAATTTGGTATACATCCTTTTGGAATTTTTATATATTTTATTGTATTGTGTATAAAACATACACATATAGAATTTGGGTGGTTTTAATGGGCTATTACTCATGTTTAGAGTTTTGATTTAATTTTTATTCAACAACATGTCTAGGAGACATTTCAGAATAGTATGTAGAAATTTATATCATCTTTTTTAAACAGCTGATTACTGTTCTTGAATGCACTTAACTATCCCCCAATTGAAAATTATGTTGGTTTTTCCTTTTTTTTAAATCCTTTAAGTATTCCAGTGTGTGTTGTGACTTTCCAAGTAGACAATATAGTATGAGTGTTTTCCAAGTAGTCCTTTGATCAATGAACAAGTTTTTGGCCTAGTAATCTCAGGAATACCCATAATTCTTGAAATACAACTTAGAAACACTACTTTCGTCTTTTAATTTTAACTTTAATGGGCATTGAGAGTCTATCCCTAATGGCTTTCAGATAAAAAGAAGCTTCAGTAGTATCTTGCTAGAAAAAGACACATGGCAGCCAGGTGTTAACGATACTAAAGGTGTTGGACCTGGGACATCAGAGGGCAAATTATGTACCTTCAGTCACCAGGACAATGGTGGGAGTGGGAGTGGGGAGTAGCATAAAAAGGAAAGCACATGAGGGGCATGGGTTTCTGTTTCTGATCTTTGACATCATAATTTTTCCATTTTACTTAAATGGCCAGTAAGAAATATGGCTGGAGTTTCATTTCTATACAGTTTCCCAGGTACTTTTTGAGAAAAGAAAGTGAATGCATCTGCGCAGAGCATGCAGGAGGCACGGAGCCGCCACCGGGACTACTCTGCTATGGGCTTTTGGTGATCTCTTTTGTGTTGGGTTTCATTGCTTGTCATCATTACTGTGTTCGGTAGCGGTTCAGAAATGCTCATTTATTTTCAAACAGAGAAGTGCCGAAATGCCCAGTTTATAGTTTGGTTAGTCTGTTTTTGCTTAGTACCCAAATCTATCTTTCTGAAAGAGTCTGCAAGATTCAGCTGGCTATTGGTCTGTAGGGCTCTGCAGTGTATTCAAGGATACTCTAAGCCTGAGCCGGTAAGACAGGTCAAGGTAGAATTTAGGATTTAGTCTGAGTACCACAGGGACATTTTGGAGGATATCAAACAGGAAAATAAAATGACCTAATTGGCCCTGGCCAGTGTGGCTCAGTTGGTTGAGCATCCTCCTGTGCACGGAAAGGTTGCTGCTTCGATTCCTGGTCAGGGCGCATGTCCTGGTTGTGGGCTTGATCCCCAGTAGGGAGCATGCAGGAGGGAGCAATCGATGTGCTCTCACATTGATGTTTCTCTCTTCTCCCTTCCTCTTTTTCTAAAAATCAATAAACTATTCTTTTTTTAAAAAATGATCTAATTTCCATTTTCATAGACTCACACTCCCTATTTTGTGGCAAGTGTAGAGGGAGGAGCATGAGTGGAAGCTGGATTGGAGGAAGGGTGTGTGTGGATAATAAGGGGTCCTTTGCAGTCATCCCTTTAACTCCACAAATATCTGCTGGGCATTAGATACAGTGATAGGCACCAGACAGTGAGATGATAAATAAGGCAAGGTCACTGCCCTTCCAAATATAAGAAACATACAAGTGCTGGTATGGGATAAAATAACTTAGGCCCCATGTTTGTATTAAAATCCAGTGGGCAGAATACTTCTCTTTAGACTTCCAAACATTTAAAAGTGGATAGGGAAGGGGTTCTCAATTTCAATGTGCATAATACTACCAAGAACTAGTTAGAAATACTGACTCCTGCATCCTACCACCCTAGCCCAGAAGTTCTTTCTATAGCAAGGCCCCACAATTTGCATTTTAACAAGC